GTCTGAGGTTCTGACAGACCTGACAGAGGTTCTGACAGACCTGTCTGAGGTTCTGACAGACCTGACAGAGGTTCTGACAGACCTGTCTGTAGTTCTAACAGACCTGTCTGTAGTTCTAACAGAACTGTCTGTAGTTCTGACAGACCTGTCTGAGGTTCTGACAGACCTGTCAGAGGTTCTAACAGACCTGTCAGAGGTTCTGACAGACCTGCCTGAGGTTCTGACAGACCTGTCTGTAGTTCTGACAGACCTGTCTGAGGTTCTGACAGACCTGTCTGTAGTTCTGACAGACCTGTCAGAGGTTCTAACAGACCTGTCAGAGGTTCTGACAGACCTGCCTGAGGTTCTGACAGACCTGTCTGAGGTTCTGACAGACCTGTCTGTAGTTCTGACAGACCTGTCTGAGTTTCTAACCGACCTGTCTGAGGTTCTGACAGACCTGTCTAACAGACCTGTCTGAGGTTCTAACAGAACTCTGTCTGTGGTTCTGACCTTAGACCTGGACTCTGAAGGTAAGTCTCAGGCTGTACTTACTAACATTAGACCTGGACCCTGACCTTAGACCTGGACCCTGAAGGTAAGTGTCAGGCTGTACTTACTAACATTAGACCTGGACCCTGACCTTAGACCTGGACCCTGAAGGTAAGTGTCAGGCTGTACTTACTAACATTAGACCTGGACCCTGACCTTAGACCTGGACCCTGACCTTAGACCTGGACCCTGAAGGTAAGTGTCAGGCTGTACTTACTAACATTAGACCTGGACCCTGACCTTAGACCTGGACCCTGAAGGTAAGTGTCAGGCTGTACTTACTGCAGTAGAGGCTGCAGCCTGTTTGGACTCCTCGGTGAGGAACTCCAGCATCACCTCAACCTTCTGCTTCTCCTCCTCACTGATGTAATCTGTATCTGTAGGAACACAAACAAACAGAGACTCAGAGTACAGTCTGCATTCTGAGCTTTCATCTGATAGGAGACCTGCAGATGAGCAGTTCTGACTCTCAGAACCTGGATCTGATAAATTATTTGCAAAAACAGGACTGATAGATAATAAAATAAATTAATTTAGATTTACTCATAAGAAGTGATTCATGTCATTGAAGGGAACCTTCAGAACATCCTGTCAGCAAGAGACAAAGGACCGGACCTCTGCAGGCCTCACAGTGGTTCTGGTAAGTGGTTGCTGTTAAAAGTCAGTCCACATCAGTCTGCTGCACTCTGAGGTCACCGTTAGAAGGCTCCACTGATTCTGGGTCATCAACCACAGAAAATCCAGATCAGCAAATTCATCTAACAAGTCCATCATGGAGGCCAGTCCGGTTCGGTCCAGGTTCCTTCATTTATTTCCAGTTAGTCAGACCCAAAGCAGGTTCTAAAAATGGAAGAAAAACCTGAAGCTTCTTTTAGTAAGTAAGTAAGTAAGTAAAGTTTTATTTATATAGCACCTTTCATAGAAATACATTCACAAGGTGCTGTACAATCAGAGGGAAATCAAAATATATACTTCATTCTTTTAACCTTAAAATGTTGAGTTTTGTCAAACTAAACTTCAGATTTATAACATCTGAACACACTTCAGACCACAACAAAACACTTTACACCAACTCAGAATAACTTGAATAACAACACACAAAGAGGAGCCAGAGGCCTGATGAGCACCAGAGTCACCATCCAAGATGAAATATCCAAGCTCCAAGATTACATCGGGAAGATGGCCCCAAAAGATGAAGCACTCAGTGAAGGTCTCAGACAATGGAAACTGGAAGAGAAGGAGCTGAAGAACAACTGTGGGAGGAAACGACCCTGCATGGATGCACCACTGACAGATAGATGAAGTGGCTGATTTGACCAAATCCTACCAATGTCTGGAAAAAGCTGGACTCAAGGACAGCACAGAGGCACTTATCCTAGCTGCACAGGAACAGGCCCTAAACACCAGAGCAATAGAGGCTCAGATCTACCACACCAGGCAAGATGCAGGCAGGTGCAGGCTGTGTAACGAGGCCCCAGAAACAACCCAGCATCTCACAGCAGGTGTAAGATACTAGCAGGAAAGGACAAGGATCACTATAACCAAGTGTCTGGTGCAGTGTGCAGAAACATCTGTCACGAGTACGAACTGGAGACCCCAGGGCTAAAGTGTGACTCACCTCCCAAGGTGGTGGAGAATGGAGGAATGGTGGAGCTAAGATCCTGTGGGACTTCCAGATTCAAACAGACAAGATGGTAATGACCAACTAACTGGACTCTGTGATCACTGATAAGCAGCAGAGGACAGCTGTGGTGACTGATGTGACCATCCCCAATGATGGAAACATCAGGAACAAGAGAAACGGGAGAAATACCAAGAGCTCAGGAAAGAACTAGACTGAGCCTGGCAGGTGAAAACTGTAGTGGGTGGTCGTCAGATCCCTGAAAAACCTCTGACATCTCAGTCCAGAAAAGCACAGTCTAAGGAACAGCTGAGATACTGAGAAGAACCATCAAGCTCCCAAACCTCTGGTAGAGGACCTGAGCTTGAGATGAAGAGCCACCCACCCCACCCAGGGGACCGGGGTGTCTCTGGGCTCTGCAGGTGGTACAGCTTGCCCCGCCCACAGGGCAGTACCAGGACTCAGGGTTTAGTTTTCTTTTGCCTGTTTTTCTTCTTCAGCTGCAGTACTTCACCTCAAGTCTTCTCCCTGGTCTCCTTCTGTAGATACCCCACCCCCACCCTCTCATTTGATGCCTTTCGATTGTCCATTTACCCCACCCCCCAGCAGACGGATCTGGTTTCTGTGGTGGAGTGGTTTTGCTGGCTCAGAGCTGTGATATTGGCTTGTTGGACAGCTGCCATGAAGATATGAGATATTAGCCACAGGATGGGGTAGGGGTGGGCTGATGGGGGTGTTAAAAGCAGACTATTAGCACAGTAACACTGAGAGCTTCTACAGGAAGCCGCAGACAACGAAAGAATAAAAGATTCACAGACAGAAGCTCTGTCTTCATGAAATCGTTTACCAGAAACCACCATCCATTAACAGGTCCAGGTCCAGGACCAGGTCTCTGCTGTCCTGGAGTCCAGGTCTCTGTCTTTCTTCTCAGGCAGTTCTGAACACCTTCATCAGGTTCTCAGAGCTAGTACAGGTGACCTCTTTTAAACACTAAAAACTGGACCTTTAGCAGGAACTCTCAATGGATTCACTTCTTCATTTAGCTGATGATGATGATGATGATGATGATGATGATGGTGATGAAGGAATTTAGTTTAAAGTCAGGAGACAGACTCTTCATACTAACCAGACTCGGTCTTGTTGCCTCATGGGATTGGTCTGGTGTTAAAACTGGACTAGTCCTTTTCTCTAAGGTTGACCTGAAGAACTTTAGGGTCCTCCAGGAGGGGCACGTGTTAAAATGTCCCCCTCAGTTTAACCTTTCAGGACTAGCTGGATGTTAAAACTGAATGGAACTCTTCTGTTGGCTTCAGGAGGAAAATGAAAGTGAAAACTTTCACAGATGAGACTTTGATTGATGCAGCATCAGTTTCTGATGGTCAGAGTAGAACCCAGGAAGTCCTGAAGTATAAAACCCTCAAAATGAACGTGAACTTTTCTCTCATCTTGGATAAATCATCTGTTCCTGCAAGTTGTTGTTGTTGTTGTTGTTGTTGTTGTTGTTGTTGTTGTTGTTGGACCCAAACTAAGCGATCCAGACTGTTGTGGACTCAGCAGACCCAGGTTTCAGGTGAACCTGCTGGATCACATGTGGTCTGGCGCCGGCTGACAGCAGAGCTCTCTGACTTCCACTAATCCTCCAGATGATGCCACACAGGGTGGTCATGGAAACTGTACTGTGTTTCCATGGCAACAGAGCAGGATGCTGCAGCAACTGGGCCATCCCCCCACCTGGAAACAGTTTGGCTCCTGGACCGGTACCAGACCCACAGAGGGAGGCAACATGAACAGAAGGCTGGGGTCACATGACCCGCAGGTGTTCAGAAGGTGTGTCTGGGTGGGTGTGTGTGTGTGGG